TGTCAGTGGCTGTAAATGAGTGTTTCAATTCACTGTGTCACCTTATCCTTGACTTGGATTACTTTCAGCAGAGTTCATGTACACACACACAAATACACATGCACATCCTCCACCCCTTGTTTCTTTCATGCAAAAAATTAGTCCTGTGTGATAGCAAGCAAAAGTAACCAAAGAAACAAGAGTAGGAATGTCCAGCTGTGTCCTGATATTGCCATTTCATAAATTTGTAAATGTAGAAATTGCTATCTCCTGTTGCTCATGTTGCTTGTATACCTGAGAACCATAGTCAGAGGCTAAGAATATGCCAGGACCTGCACAGACTAGCACAGTGAGAGTCCCTTAGTGATAGCACTTATAACATACAAACAGGACAAGGGACAACATATAGATGAAAACAAATGGGAGGAGAACTAGGTAGCCATGCAGCAGGACTGCAGTAGTCCACCCATCAAGTGAAGGTTTCAGTTCATTAATGTCTGAGCTATTCTGCAAGTGTCATGTCAAAGGGAAGAACAGTGAATCTGTGGATGTGCAGTATGAACAATGCCCAGCCAGGAGGCATACTGAGGCACTTGTCTGAATGCCAAACAGATGCACAATAAATATTGCTATAAGGAACATTTTGCAGGGGTAAGTTCCTTAACAATGAAGAAGAAATTATTAGGGAATGTGCAACGAAGAGCCTTGACAATAGAGATCAGTTCATCTGATGTGAAGACAGCCAAGATGTGGTAGAAGGGCATGCACAGAGAGGAACACCTGGATAGAGCATTCAGTTAATGCAGTGATGGTTGCAGCAGTATTCTGAGCTGTGCAGTTATTCATGAAAGGTGAAGAAAACAGGTCTTGTAATGGTAGCATTTCTAGCACTGACAATCTGGGTCTAGCTGTAGTCTAACAAATACTAGACTTTAGAAACACAAGAGACTGAAATGATACAGCGTGTCTCCAGAAAATCAGTTCTAAATTGCTTGTTCTAAAGCCAGGGCCTTTGGAAGTCATCCACATTATTGTAATAAACCCTGCCTATTGCTGCAGAACTTAGAAACGAGATGAGAACTGAGGGCCTATTGCATTAGCTTCTGTATGGGCATAAAGTTATATGGAGATCTTTATTGGAAAATTATTTTCCCCATTGCTATTTAGCTTTTCTTGCAGTTTGTAAGGGAAATTGTTGGGAATGGAAAATTATTTTCCCCATTGCTGTTTAGCTTTTTTTGCAGTTTGTAAGGGAAATTGTTGGGATGGGATGTAGAAATCAAGAAGAGAGCTATGAAACAAATGAGAAGAATGAGGGAAGGCACATTCAAAGGACAGAAGTGCAGGGAGAACAGATGAAGATACTATGTGGCTATAGGAAAGGAGCCTGAAAGATTCAGCACAGAGGAAAGAGTTCCTTTTCAGAACACAGAAAACACCCCAGTGAGCTCAAGTGGGACTGTGGGCCCTTGCTTTCACTGACTGTGCAGCTGCTCCTTCCAGCTTGAGTGGGTTGACTCCTCCCTTGTTATTCCCTTGTGCTGACTGCAGAGCATATCTGAATAGTAAAGAGATTTGCAATTAAGAGAAATGCTTCAGAGAGCTAAAAAAGCTCTTGTTTTTGCTGAATGTATATTTTTTTGCATCTTTTTTCTCTTTTTTTTTTTTTTAAAGCCACTCAATTAACAACTAATAGTTTCCAAGGTGGTCACCTGCTTCTAGCTAGCAAATAAGAAGGCAAGGAGCCTGATTAATCACAGCTAAGAAAGCTGTTGCCTGGGTACCTTCATACTTCTGCACTGCTAAAAGGGAATGACCTAAAAAAGAAGAGAAGCATTTGTAAGCCAATGCTTTTCTCTTCACCAGAGGGATCTCAACTGCATCTTTGCTCTGTCCATCCTTCCCTCATTTTGTGCATCAGGCCCAGGCAGGAAAGGCTGAGGGACAGCAGATGGGAGGTTGACTGTTGCTCAGATTTGAAAGCAGCTCCTAACGTTTGGCTCACACCTGTCAGCATACTTCGTATACACTTGTTTATCCTCCTCTGTACCATATGTTTCCATGTAAAATCAGTTCCAATGATCTATTGCCTTACTTCTATCACTCCTATTATGGTCGTAACTGAGCACTTCACAGTCGTTAATGCATTTACCCTGACAGCATCCCTGTTGCGTAGGCATCTAATATCACCCACTGCAGAGATGGGTTAGCTGAAGCTCAGATCCACAGCTCCTCAAAAGTCTCATTGAAATTGATGGGAACGAAACACTTCTCCAGAGGATGAAAGTTTCGGAGAGCAATCTGCATGCTCAGTTTCACCCAAGGAACTTGCAGTCGAGTGAGTAAATTCCCCTTTTCGGTCCTACGTGGATGCTCAAAGTGCTGGACCATTCTTTTTTTCTTGACACAGAGCTGTTCCCTCGCTTTGCAAACCCAGCAGAACTATGGTGTCCAGGTTTTTTAAACCCTTTGCCAGTAAACCCCCATGTTACAACTCTCCATGTCCTCACCAAGGCCTGGAAAGGATGCTGTCCTCGTCAGAAACTAGTTTAAAAGTGAGTCAAAATCCCATTGGCCCAGTGTAGTGACAGCTCAAAGGTATTCTGCTCAAATGAGAAAAGTTGATAAGGACCAAAAAATGTGCTTCTGCTGCTCTAGAGACTGTTTATCCCATTTCCTCTATTCTTTGTATTCTTGCTTGCCTCTCAGAAAAGAAGTTCTTTGCAGCCCTTCAGATTTAAAGTTATGTAGGAGAGGAACAGGGATTTTTAAAATGTACTGTATGTACCTATCAGTCACCTACTTATTAATTATAACTAAAAGCATGATTAATCTGTCATGGATAAGGCTGCTAAGTAACCCTAATCATGCTAATGCATTTCTGTCACTTATACAAAAGGCAGCATTATTATCAGTTTTTACATCCATGTGTACTAAAGCCCATATACACAGCAGCTGCAGAACACTGTAATGTTCTTTCTGCCACAGATGGGATGAAGTTGCATCATGCGTATCTGTATTGCCCCCACATTGCCTGTGCAGTGATTTATTTCCTCAACACTTGTAGGATTTAACAAGGTTATTTTTTGCAAATAATTTTGCCTTTTAAAATGGATAATAACTACAGTTATGAGAGATATTTCCAGGAACTCATAATGACTGTGCCTGAAATACCTCTGTGGAAATGGCCAGCATGAAGACCAAGGTGCTGCTTAAGCCCTGCAATGAGTGGGATCTAAGAGATGCATAGATCCTATAACAGTGTCAATGTCTAAAGTAAACAATTATTTTGATATGGCATATCATAATTCTTTCTCTTCTGTGTTCCTTTTCTCTGAATATTCAATTGATCCATTTTTTTTAATACCTTAGTTGTTGGAAAGTTAATTTCCAGACACCAAACTCAGGATCTGTAACCACACCTGAAACCCTTGTGTATCCATCCTGCCAAGCAGTCAGTGCATGGATATGCTAAATCACAGCTAAGCTAGACTGTTTGACTTTTAAAATGTTCTGAAGAGAAGATTTTCACATAACAGTTTCAAAACTGACACCTCTGGAAGACTAATTATACCCTACAGTATTAGGAGCAGAAGACAGGGGGTCACACTTTGAAGGAACCATTCTACTGACGTCTGGGTGGCCTCCTGAGGCTTGATGCCCTAATTATGGATGGATAGATTATGAAGAATACAATCTTTAGGCTCATTAATTATATAGTATATGAACTATATGTTTATATTATTATATAAAGACATTATATTAAATTGTATTTATTATATATACTTTCTATTCTCTTCATATATATGAAATATATATGAGGAACAAAAGCCTTACTTCAATTTTGGTATTTTACACCTATAAGGTTTTTGGTTAAATAAGATAAAGTTTTGTGTAAGAGTTTTGGTGTGAACTGCCTGAAACTAAAGAACTTCACTGCAAGATGATATCTGCAAGTTGTCATCTGCATATCTACTGTGCTGCAAGCCTCAGTGACCCAAATGAAGAAACCAGTTTGGTTTTCATCTCAACAAGCACCTTGCTGCATGCAGTCAGAGTCTCAGTCAGTAGGTTTTTGAGCATGCAGATTTATGGAACAGTCCCATGAGTTTGTACGGAAGTAAAGTTTTTTATCCAAAGCATCGAAATAGTCAAGTCACAGTCAGCGCAGGGGGAGAAAGTAGAAGAAGATTGGTAAGAAAATATAAACTGCTCCAGAACAAGTGTTGTTTGCGTGGCTTTTACAGTCCTTTGCTTAGCTAACTCTTTTTTTAAAAAAAAATAATTTAATTGCTCTTTAGTCATCACAGTTTGGTGTAAATGCAGTTCACAGCAAATTGTTTGTAGTGTTTTGCATGAATTATAGTGACACAGAAATTTTTTTAAGTCACCATTAAATCTTGGAATGCTGCCCTTAATGTACCAATTTCACTATTTTCTTGCTAAACTGTGCTCCTCAACCCTTTCTTATTAATAAACATGATATCCTTCTGTTTGCTTTTCTTTCATTCTGCACAGCTGTACTCTTCTCTTTCATCAAGAGACAGTCACAATTTTGTTTGTCACACTGAAATATGGATTTTTTTCTTCTTTATTTATGAATAGCTCGGATTTTCCTTATGGAATAGAAATTTAAACAGCACTGACATTTAGAATGTAAAGGAATTGCTCCAACTGATTATAGACATGTTAAAATGAGTCACACACTTTAGTTCCAAACTTCCTGACATACACATCCATATATATTAATCATTATGACATCATTGAAGAACTATTTTTGCCTTGTTAATAAAAGCTGAATGCATTTGCCAACCTATCAAATTATATTTAATCCAGTGAACATACAGACAGGTTAGGAAAGACATGTGCTTTCAAATAACAGCAGAGCTCAATTGTACATGTCTGAAAATGCTGTGCATGTAAAGGCATGTAACATATTTGCAGTGTTGAAACACAGGTGAGCAGCACACTGTAAAAAACCCACCAAATTATTTAGGTTTGATAAGAAGAATTAAACTCACCTGTCGACAAATGCATGGTGTAGTACAAAGATAGGATCATTTGCTGAGCCTTGTACTTCGGACATGGAGCCATTCATGTAGATGTGAAGTGCATTATGCAAACTGCTTTGCGATGGGTTTGATATTGCAGTCTGTGGATCAGCAAAGCCTGTAGATTCAAGAGCAAATCATATGGTGATATGACAATGTGTATAATTCTTTTTTCAGTAACAGTGAAGATCAAAGTATCTACCTTCCCTTCATTTGCATTCAGCTTTTTAGACAAGAGCTTAGGAAAACATGTAAAGGAGTGCTAATACATTTCAAAGGCATAGCAAAGATGAAATTAAAATAAGCTAAATTAAAACTCCTGCCATGTAGCTAATGCAGCATGTCAGCAAATGTACTGCTTAATTGCTGTATATTTTTAAATTTCTTTGTGCATTGTGTCTGGCTGTTAAAAGGCAACATAATCCCGAGAGACATTTACGTGTGTGCATTTATTTATGTTGAGATAATTTATTCACTTTATTTATATTTTTGATCTCTGTACTTATGGGTTCCTAGGATAAAAAAGGCTATTTTATCTCATCATGCTCAGTCATTTATTAATCTTTATTGAACATGTTCTTTTGTTGATAGAAGCCAACACAATACAAGCTATAATCTTTACAAAAGGATTTGGTAAGAAATCAATAATATTTCACTCTCAGACTTGCAGGATGGAAGTCTGTGGATTGCTGATATTTTGGAGGACACTTAAAATATGGGTTTTGAGAAGAGCTTACACAGACCAATCCCCTAACAGGAAATACTGGAAGATGAGCTTCTCAATCAGTTTTTATCTTGGTAGCCTGTCCATACATCACCTCTGATGTATGTAGCCCTACTCAGCATCATGACAGCCAAGCTTCCTCCCTACCTGTAAGGACTCCTAGTAATCAACCATCTGATCCTCCTCTGGAATTTTCCCAGAGAATAATAGCAGAAGCATATGTTGTTCTCCCAATCTGTTTCTGAACTTCATGTTAGTTCTACTATTTAACCCATACCACAAACTTCTCTTTTCTGTCTCTTTTATTTGTTTCCTGAAGATGTCTTCTTGCAATTTCTCTAAGTAGTACAATGAAGAAGCATAGTAGACACAAAATAAAACATCTTTTCCATTTAGTAATCAAATTAAAAGGGCTGCGAACAATATGGTCATTGTGTTGATCCCCGGTGTTTTCCCAATATTGTTGCAGTTTATCAGGTCTGCAAGGTGGGGAAAAGAAAGACCTTAACCTTTTTCTTTGCAAAATTCCTCATAGACTTTGAACTCTCAATTTATTTATTTATTTGGACGAAGAATTATGATTTGAATGACAATCAGTAATTGTGAATCTCCTAACAGTCCATCTATTTTATGCTGTCACTCACATCACAGGGCAATTTCTGACTTTGCAAGTTGGATTCCTTTTGGAGAAAATCTAAAATGTGCTAGCCATCAGTGGGTGTTCTTTCATGGGACCGAAATACAGCTAGTATGAAAGAAATGCTTCCCTCTCAAAACCTTAATGTGTAACATGGAATTTGGGTCCACTGTTTTGCTCTTTGGATTTGTTTCTCTTTGGATCACACAAAATATTCATCGAGAATGTGGGTAGAGTTGCCTTATAAGTAGGATCATACTCTGTGAACCTGGAAACCTGAGTTTTAGTCCCCACTGTGACTCTGATCTGTGTGAAATTATTGCCCCTCATTGGGCTTTGTCTTGTCGGCTAAACTCTTCAAACAAGGGAAGGATATCTGGCACAAACCCACTGATATTTATAATAAGGATCAAATCATAACTGTGGCACCTGGAAAACAGCATACCATAGTAACCATCCATCTTTCTGATTGTAATAGTATAACAAACTTCTGAGAAATTCAAGGGAAGGCAGAGTTGAAAACATAATTAGGATAGTTGGAGGAGGTAGAGTTGGCTTATTGTGAAAACTGTAAGCCTTTAAGGTGGAGTGAGTCTGGATTTAGGAAAGAAAGAGGAGCATGTTAATGCCTACAGATAACTGTGGATTTTAAGTACATCAGATGTTGACCAGGATTATTGAAGGGCCTGCTTGGTCCCATAAATGGCAATGGGCAGAAGTTCTCAAAGAGAATACTGGGCCCACAGAAATTTGCCTGATAGTGAATGCTATGCTACCTAGCTATCAAGTCAAGGGAAATAGAAGAATGAAATATTACCTATGAAGAATGATATACATTGACAGACTCTCCAGAACTCACAAGAACCAATAGCAACAATTTTGGCCTTCTCTGTCAACGGCCACAGCGCATGATCATTGAGATCACCTGATTTAACAATACTAGGAAATTTCTGTGAATATTAACTGAATATGATATATCTGTATATCATTCTGAAGCAATTCTTTTTTTTTGAGGGAAGACAAAGTTTATGCAGGGTCTAGGCAGAAGGCTAGATGTTTTATATCAGAACTGGGATACTTCTTAATTTTCTTAGTGTATTGCAAACACTTAATCTAATCATTCATAAAAAATAAACAAACCACAGAAGACTCATCTTGGCTCTGGATAACTTTTCATGGAACATCTGCACACAAGTAATTTATCTTAATAATAAAAATCTCGGTAGCTGGGACAGTTTTAGCAACCACACCCTCTGTCTCCCAGATAATTGGGATGCGTCCAGTCAGTGTCAAAGGTGATGTCAAGTTTACCCCACATTTGAGAAGTTCTAATATCTCATTTTTTATTATGAAAACTCCATATAAATTGTAAAGTTAGCAGGAATAAAGCTACAATGTGGTGTCACTGTATTTTATTAGCTTGGGTCTTAGTCTCTTCTCTCAGACTTTTTAAAATACTTCACTGCAATCAGCTGTGCAGGATGACATACTATGAAATGTGATGGAGTCACCTAAAAAGAAGATACTGTGAAACATTACAATTTTTTTTCAGAGTGCAGGAAACTTTGCTTAGGTAGGTGCAGTAAAATTACCTCTATAGCAGGTGTGAGGCTATGGATATCAAAGTAGAGTGAGCTGGACCAAGAGCTCACTGTCTCTAGATAGGGGAGCCCTTCTTCCTCCACCTGCCTTGCCCCATGCTGTGCCTTCTTCTCCCATGCACTGACTGCACTTTGTCAGTCCTTCTGTGAACTGATTTCACTCACTATTCTGGCAGTAAACTACTCTGCAGTGTGGGATGTCAGGCTTTGGTTTTTTTTCAGGGTACTGAGATACAGTATCTCATGTAAGGATTTGATGAGAACCAGTGATGGTACTAAAAAAAGGAGGGAGAGCAACTGACTGATGGATGGAGGAGACTGCAGTGAGCTGTTAAATCATCTAGTCAGTATAGGGAGCTATAACATTCAGACATCCTTTTAAATCCTCACTTAATTATGGTGCATTAGAAATAGCCATCAGGGCATATATCACTGAAGTGAGTGGAAGTTTTCCCAGTGATTTCAATAACAGGAAAATCATAGTCTTAGGGGTGCATAAACCTGATTCTGCTCCTATTCATAACACTGTTAATCAGCAACAGTGAATCGATGGATTTGAAGTATCTTCACTGGGACAGGCTGAATTAAATCAGGTGAGGATTTAGCCCGAAGTTTATTATAGGAGAAGATAATGATGCCACTCAAAATTAAGGCTGCCTGACAGTTTTCAGCATGGTATATAGGCTCTTCTCATTGCACATGCAATTAGGTCAGTTGTATGTCTTTTAATAGAGTATTTAATTATATTAACTCTGGATTTTGCAATCTACTAACAGAGACCACAGAAGTCCATGCACAATCAGCCAAGTGTAGCGCTTTATGTATTGAAAGCAAGTATTGTTTTCCTCAGTTGCTCATTTGCCACTGACTAAAGCACTGTAACTACTTTTAGCAGCAGGTATGCAGAGCTTAGAGAGCATTATCATCATTCCATGCTACAGAAATGGAGGAACCATTCCAGCAATCCTATCTCCTTTGATTATCTTAGGGATCTGCTTAACATCTGTGGCATCCCTAACATCATTTAGATATTCATAACAGTTTTGCAGGTGATTTTCTTCACTGCAAAACATTTTTTCTTAGAAAATAAATTTCAGTTTTGTATGTCTTTCTAGGCCAGTGGTAAGGATAGCTGGGACTTTAAATGTCAAATTCTGCTTCGTACATTGCATGTTGAGGGGATTGAATGTCCCCTCAGTCAGTCTGCAAACAACACCATGTTGGGCAAGAAAGCTCTGCAGAGGGATTTGAACAGGCTGGATCCATGGACTTAGGCCAATTGTATGAGGGTTCAGCAAGGTGAAGCACTGGGTCACAACATGAATGCTACAGACTTGGGGAAGAGTGACTGGAAAGCTGCCCAGTGGAAAAGACCTGGGGGTGTTGGTCGACAGTGGCTTAACATAAGAGCAGTGTGCCCAGGTGGCCAAGAAGGCCAATGGCACCCTGGGTTGTATGAAGAATAGTGTGGCCAGGAGGATGAAGGCAGTAGATTGTCCCTCTGTATTCAGCACTCGTGAAGCTGCAGCTCAAGCACTGCGTTCACTTTTGGGCCCCTCACTACAAGACAGACATTGAGGTACTGGAATGTGTTCAGAGAGGGACAGCAAAGCTGGTGAAGGATCTGGAGCACAAGTTTGATGAGGAGCAGCTGAGGGAGCTGGAGGTGTTTAGTCTGCAGAAAAGGAGGTTCAGGTGGGATCTTATCTCTCTCTACAGCTAGTTGAAAGATGGCTGCAGCCAGGCGGGGATCAGTCTCTTCTCACAGGTAGCAAGCAACAGGACAAGAAAAAATGACCTCAAGTTGCCTCAGGAAAAGTTTAGATGAGATTCTAGGAATAATTTCTTCACAGAAAGAGTTGTCAAACATTGGAACAGGATACCCAGGAAGTGGTAGAAACACCATTCCTGGAAGTGTTTAAAACCGTGTGGACATGGCACTTGGGAATATGATTTAATAGCGAAAGTGGCAGTTCTAGCTTAACAGTTGGACTCCATGATCTTAGAGGTCTTCCCCAGTCTTAACGATTATGATTCTATGTTTAGTGTTAGACTCAGCAGTGTTAGGTTTATAGTTGATCTTAATGACCTTAAGTGATCTTAATGATCTTCAGATCTCAATGATTTTAAAGGTCTTTTCTAGCTTAAATGATTCT